CACTTTCGTTCGACACAAGTTTTTCCTGATTCTTCATATTCTTGTTTAGATATCCACATTTGCTGGAATGTACCCTGAAAAAAAAAATTAACAAATTCCTCAATAAATGAAAAATTGTTTATTTGGGGGAAAAAAAGGATATAAAAAAGAAAAAATACATTGTCAGTATAAAGTCAGCTAAGTAACATTGAAAAAATATGCTGGCTGTGTTGAACAATACTGAATAGCAGTATCAGAGATTAAATTTCAGGAAGCTTTGCCATTGATCAACATGGAATTTGATGTTGGCAATTGGATTACATTAGATGGGTTTCCATCAGTGGAATAAGATGCTAAAATAAATGATGTGGTTATGATAATTTTTGAAAGGAAATCTTGATCAGACCAACTGCAAAAATACTTCCCATAAAAAAGCAAAAATTCCATGGTTTATTAAATTACCAGTACTTACCAATGATGCTAAAATTGATCCACCAATCCATGAACTAAATCTTCTCTCTGCTGTCCCAGCACTACTCATGACCTTTAACCTCATGCTCTGTGATAACAAACATTACATTGATTTCGTGAAAAAAATTGATTTTTTTCAAATTTGGCACACATTAAATTGAACATCCTGAGACCTTGGATGCATGTCTTTTTGCTTTACCAGCCTGGTCAAACTTTAATTTGAACAACTTACATTGGGGATATAAGATAGCTGGCTTATATTTTCATTTTTGATATTAAAATTATGTCAATAAATACAATAGGATATAATACTGTAAAATACTTTATTTTAGCTGGAATTAATTTTCGCTGAAAAGACTTTTTGGGTGTTTTGTATAGAATTAATTTTCACTGATTTTTGATGAGTTGAATGTGAAATATGGAAAAAAAAAGGTATATTCGCTGAATTTTATTTTCACGGAATCATTCCTTAAGTGAAAATTAATTCCAAGCGAAAATGAAGTATTACAGTATGTAACTTTCATATTCATTTTTGTTTCCATTCCACAACAGGAAATGTGTTATATCAATGACTACTTGTTATCTTTGATTTCTATAAGAAGGTACATATATCTGTACAACTTACCGGTGGTGTTTTGTTAGATAATTCTCTATTTACTCTGTCAACAAAGCCCAACAATAAGGAGTTGCCACCGGTTACAATAATACTGTTATACATACTCTGTAAGAAAAAAAACATAGTGTAAATATTACAACATTGTCCATTGAGAATCTAAATTAAATAATAAAGTGATGAATGGATAACAAACTAACAATGCAATATCTTTTTTTTTTCTTTGCATGGCAAGTGTGAGTACCGGTATAAAAGTCCTGAAACAGAAAATACTGGCTAAAATTCTGCCCAAAAAAGTATGAAAAAGATCATCATAATTACATAAAAAAAAATTAAATAAACATTCATGTTTCTCAAATAATACTACATGTACTGTATCACGGCAACTTCAATGTCCCTCATAGAATAATATAACATAAATTGCAGAAAAGTTCCTAAAAAATATTAGAGCAACAGATCTAAGCAAAATCAAGAATCAATGTCCCTTATAAAAATAATATAGCATTAATTGTTTAGAAGTTCCCAAATAACAATTCAATGTCTTCATTCTGTCCATTATTTTATGTTTAATTCAGTAAAATTTTGAAATATCTTAAAAATTGCTAGTTACATCAAAATTAAACTTGTTTAGTAATTGATAAGATTCCCAAATTTGAGGATAATCAGATAAAGACAGTTTTAAAGGATATTTAAACCAATTTTTGAAAAATATATACAGAAAATGTACTGAAATCAAACTTTGCTGAGATCTCAAACTTATTAACATAATATCCCAGTTTGAAAGGAATTAGATAAAAGCTATTTTAGGTATTGTAACCACAATAAAAGTTTTACGTTTTATGATTGAGTCAATAATGATGACAACAACAACACCAACAAGGACAGACATTTTCATTTCATATACTTAGACCTTCATCTACAATGATACGGACAAGATAAAAATGCAAAGCAAAATGGGCTCATGTGCTTGACAACAGGAAATGAATGTACATGAATTTCAAGAGCTGACACATATCTGCTGATGACCAGAGAGATGTGATGAAAAGGTTGATGACATGGTAAACACAATGAATAATTGACTTACTGGTCTAATGTCAATATCACACATCCCGATACTAGTGGATACTACATGTCCCACACTCAACATAGTATTACCATCCAAGCCCTGAAAATAATAACAAAATAAAGTTACCCGGTAGAACTACTTCTTATACAGCAAGACACAGGGGGAACAATTTAAAGTCATGGTTAAAATACTATAAAACAAGTCTTTTTAGCATGCTACACTGTACTTTAGCTAACCTGTAATTCAAGATGTCATTGATTTAAAATAGAGAATATTGTCGCAATGAGATTTTTGGCACTTTAGCTAAATTCAGTTAATTCATGCATTGAGTCAAATTCATTAAAATGGCAAGTAGCTAATTCGGTCAGTTTTACAGTACCAGGGTACTTTAGGTACAGGAATTTCCTAAAACTTTGCTAAATTATTTTTTTGCTGATGATTATTACCGGTATCATTATTAACCACAACTGTATATGTATTTTGCCCACTTTCCAATACAAAATGGCCACCAAATTAGGAAATTGCAAAGCCATAGTGTCCATGGATAAAAATTTACTTGCTATTTTTCATTTAATATTTGAAATGACTTTTCACTCAGAAAATATCAAGCTGCATCCTTCCTGGGAATGGTACACTAATAGCAACTATTATACACCCAACAAGAAAAGCAACAGATTTAGAGTTCCATAAAAGTTGTATTTTTATTTCCTTAAAATACATTTGCACTCGTATTCGGTGTAAAATATGTGAAGATGTGATTTGAAACAATATCATAAACAACTAGAAAAAGTGTGATATGGTTGTGGAATTGTTGCACCCATAGGACCCATATGTAATAGAATAGATGTTACACAGAGTATCATTAACTTTCAAGTCTTCTCGTTGCTTGTCCCTGAATTCTCCAGTGTCTTTGGCTCAATCAAACGTCTTTGTAAATTGTTAAACCACATTTTAAAATTATGAAAACTAAATCTATAAATATCAAAGAAACCATATCCAGTAATAACAGCAAGCTGCTCACCTTAATGTTAGAAGGGTCAAATAAACCCTCAGCCAGATAGAATCTTTCCGGTCCAAAGTCTTGGTGATAGCCATTTGGAAATTCATACTGTAATGGTAATAAGTTTGTAGTATCTCTGGAAAAAAAAGAGCGGAGGATAACAATATCAGTTTTTACAAGACTAGTGATTAGTATTGTTAAATATTTTATTTCAGCTAGAATTACTGGTAAAAAGACATTTTGGATTTCTTGTAAGCAGTTTATTTTCACAGATTTGTGATGAGTTGAATGTAAAATATGGGAAAAATGTATTTTCACTGAATTTTATTTTCAATGATTCATACCTTCAGTGAAATTATCAAAAATGAATTCAAAGTAAAAAATTATATTTATGCAAAAATTATTGGCCATGTGTTAAAAGTTGACTAAGTTGGGTATCTCTAATAAAGCAAACTTACTCATTGTTAAATGGACCGTCTGCTACTTGTAATACTGAGGCTTGGAAATCCTGCAGCACTTTTTTAACCATGTAGTTATGCCAGGACTTGCTTACATCTGGTATTTGTTTCTTAACATAGCAAGGTGGAGCACCATCACCCACTTCCTCCTGAGTATAGTATATGTATATATGAAAGGTGTCAGTAGTTGTATTACATATCAAGTAAGTTTCATTTGCAGATAGTTTACCAGCAATTGAAAATAATATACCAGTAAATGTTTAGTTAAGTTATGTTAATGGTATTCATTAACATTAAGGATATTCAAACTGAATTTTTGAAAATGAAATAAAATACGAATCACCAGGTTTCAAACTTTCTAAACATTTACAGGGATTGGAAAATGGTGGTGAGACACTTAGTCAATTTAATCATATGTGACGAGCATTATGAACTAGTGATTCAGAGAAAATCAAGCAATATTAATAATAGTGAAATACTGTCTTCAGAAATGCTCACAAATCGTGCAGGAGAACCCTCAGTGTATGTGTAAGGAGATAATAGGAAGAGAAATAAAATACATGAAGTAAAAAAGAATTTTGCAAAATTCTGAATGACCTCCTAGAGCTCTGTGTATTAAACTTAAAACCTATACTGCTATATGCCAATAGAGGTCATTTTATGATTGACCCCTTACTCATAGGTGAGGAATGAATCTCAATTAGTGCAAAAGTTAGATAAATGTAATATCATAAGCAAGGCTTGAACTTCACTGGGGTATCAAAGGCTATTTGCCTATATTCCCTATATTATTCTTATATGCTAGGACCCTGTTGTAGAGTCATAAATTTGATTTCCTATTCATCTAAAATATCCATCTAATTTTCAAGTTAATTCAAACAGTTGCCTCATCATAATCCATGAATAATCCACCACTACACATGGATAAAGCACATTTTTGAGTTCAGAGAAGAAGAACTTGGAAATATTTAAAATGATGTCTCAAATATATGTATACGTTTTAGCTGACACCTGAAACTACTAGAAAAATACTGATTTCAAAAGTTCAATCCGCTTGAATGGAACAATCAGAATGCCAGGATTTTTATTACGGAGATATAAAAAATGATAACATTAAAATGACATGATACATGTTGTATATAGAATATACAAAGTACACAAGTAATTTTATTGGTTGTGTTAAAACGATAATGGACAATGTGGATAATAGAAAAAGCTGACGCCCAATGACACACTCATCACATTTTCAAAGGAAATTAACTACGAAAAGAATATAATAAACGCGCCACAGTTGTCATACAGCATGCTTATGTAAACAAAATGCATTGTGTATGTTACATGACACCTCAAATCACTACCAGTACTTAGAACAAGAACAAGTCATTGTCAATGACACCTCCCCCGTTCCGTTCATATTTGAGTGACATATACATTCAAAGCAGATCATGACCGAAATGCACCTGCATATGTACAACACATTGTTCTAAATCTGAACAAAATCCATCCATGCATGACTGAGATCAGGTTCCGGAATTGTGAAAATACGTGATTTTGATGCATTTTCAGCCTTAAAATGGCCATCATTCAGCTATTGTTAAGCGGATCATGAAACAAATGCACATATCTATTTGTGACATGATGTACCATGTGTGTGTGAAGTTTGAACTTGATCAATCCAGACATGTCTCGGATACGGATCCAGAACTGAATTCTTTAAAACAAAATGGCCGCCAGTCGGCCATTTCAAACCCGATCCAAAAAAAAAAATGACGTGCATCAAGGTCCTATTATGTTTAATGTATGTACCAAATTTGAACGAAATCCGTCCATGCATAACTAAGATCCGGGTCCAGAATGGTGAAA